TCAGATCTCTCTAGATGAGAGTGCTTAGTGTTGGTAATCTGCGTTGTTAGCGAGATTAGCCGGTTGTTAATAAGTCTGTTCTTCTCTGCTTGATCTCTTAATTATTCGGTTGTGTGATTAATGAGGATTAATCGAGTATTTATAGCCTTGGGAAGCGTGCAGCTCTCTAGGTTTAAGGTAAACCTAGGGCTGATCGGGCCTCTAGACTGAATTGGGCCTTAATGGCCGGTTGTCCCATTTGGCATGGGTGGACACGTGGCGTGTCTTAAGTGGTCCATGGAGGACGTATCTGTGATTGACACGTGGCAAGCTCCTGTTGGCCTTTGTGAAGGACACGTGGCGGAACCTGGTTGGTCCACTTGTCAGACGGTGATTGGTGGATAAAAATCCCCTAATCACAAAGGGTATTACTTCTACAACAAATCCGAGAACAAAGTATTTGTTGCTCGTGATGGTGTCTTTTTGGAGAAGGAACACCTTTCAAAAATGACAAGTGGGAGGAAAATCGAACTCGACGAAGTTCGAGAGGACGAGCAACAATGTCAACCCGATAAAACTGACAATCTAAGTGCTTTGGAAGCAGCTGAGAAGATTGTTCAGAATCAAACAGACAATGTAAATGCTCAACCCATTACCCTTCGTAGGTCGCAACGACAAAGATCTCAACCAGACAGATACCTTGGTATTGTCTTAACCGATGATCAAGACATCCTAGTAATGGATGACGATGAGCCGGCGACATACAAACAAGCTATGACGAGCCCCGACTCTGCTAAATGGCAAAAAGCCATGAGATCCGAATGGACTCCATGTCTGAAAATCAAGTCTGGGACTGGGTGAATTTGCCCGAGGATTACACATCCATTGGTTGCAAATGGATCTTCAAATTGAAGACATACAAGGATGGAAATGTATCGATATACAAGGCTAGACTGGTGGCAAAAGGTTATAGACAAATCCACGGGATTGACTATGATGAAACTTTTTCACTGGTTGCAATGCTAAAGTCTGTCCAGATTATCCTAGCGATTGCTGCATATTACGATTATGAAATATGGCAGATGGATGTCAAAACCGCCTTCCTAAATGGGATTTTGGAAGAAACTGTGTATATGACATAGCCAGAAGGTTTTGTTGATCCAAGCAACGCTGGAAAGGTATGCAAGCTTAAGAAGTCCATTTATGGACTAAAGCAAGCTAGCAGGAGTTGGAATCTGCGATTTGATGAAGCCATCCGCAAGTTTGGTTTTATCAAGAATCCAGATGAATCTTGTGTATACAAGAAGGTCAGTGGGAGTGACATCGCATTCCTAGTCCTATATGTCGATGACATACTGCTCATTGGAAACAACATAAAATTATTAGAGTCCGTAAAGGGCTGGTTGGGAAGTGTTTTTCAATGAAGGACTTAGGAGAGGCACAGTACATATTGGGCATAAAGATCTATAGGGATAGATCTAAGAGGATGATTGGATTGAGCCAGAGTACTTACATTGATAAGGTACTGGCACGATTCCACATGGAGAACGCCAAGAGAGGGCATCTACCCATGTCCCATGGCGTAACTCTCAGCAAGAAACAGTGTCCACAGACACCTGTTGAGCGAGAGAGAATGAATCAGATCCCATATGCTTCACTAATTGGATCGATCATGTATGCCATGATATGTACCAGGCCAGATGTATCGCATGCCTTAAGCGCTACGAGCCGATACCAATCAAACCCAGGAGAAGCACATTGGACTGCGGCCAAAAATATCCTGAAATACCTGAAAAGGAACAAGGATAAATTCCTGGTCTATGCTGGCCACAAAGACCTGGTTGTTGAAGGTTACACCGACGCTAGCTTCCAGACTGACAAAGACGACTTCAAGTCACAGTTAGGATACATATTCTGTCTGAATGGAGGAGCGTTTAGCTGGAAGAGTGCCAAGCAGAACACCACTGCAGATTCTACAACTGAAGCCGAATACTTGGCTGCTTCAGAAGCCGCTAAGGACTGTTTGGATTCCCAAGTTCATCAGTGAACTTGGTGTTGTACCCTCCATCAAGGGTCCGATAGATCTCTACTGTGACAACAATGGAGCTATCGCTCAGGCTAGAGAGCCAAGAGAGCACCAGAAAGTCAAACATGTCCAAAGGCGATTTCACATGATAAGGGAATGGAAATCCGAAGGTGAAAACAGAATTTGCAAGATCGGCACGGATGATAATGTGGCTGATCCTTTAACTAAACCTTTGCCTCAAGTGAAACACAACAAGCACATTGAGGCAATAGGAATCAAGCACGTCGGAGACTGGCTTTGAAATTCCCTGTACATGTGTTTTAATTAAACTAGATGTTTTAATGTAAGACACTGTATTGAAACCATTCATTTATGGAGTAATTAATTTTTATGCAAAATTATTTTTCACTCCATTGCTATTTAATTGTGGTTTAGAATTAAATAATGAGTCCATTCGATTTATGGAAATATTCAAAACAGGGTATCAAGACCATGTCCTGCATAAAGAAACACCTGTTAAGTGAACATTGAATATTTAAATCGAAAATTATCCCTAATCGAGGTCATTTAAATGATGGACTATTGATGACTAACAGAGATTAGTGTGTAGTATGATTTACAGCACCGTTTCTTGTGCTGCAAGGACATGATGGTCATAAATCATTTGCACAGATGCTAGTTTGGAACTGCACTGGATAGACCTATGAGAGTACTTTAAAAGATTCAAAATTTTCATAAGTACATTTCTCATTATAGCTATCGGAAATCGTTTCCTCGACCATGAGTATTGTGAAATTTTCTTGTTTGAGTACTAGTCACTTTGATGTTACCTAACGTCTGCCGTAACTGGGGATCATAACGGGAACACTCAGGAGATTAGGTCCTCTTAGTAAGAGTAACTTACAATGCAAGACTGGGAATGTCCCCTATTAACAAGGCCGCTCGAAGAGCGAGACTGTGAAAATGCATGGCCGTGCTCAGATGGATTTTAGAAATCATCTGCTTATTGACAGTCGAACTCGGAGATCGAGAAACGATTCTAAACGAAATAAGGATGACGATGAATCTTACCTTATAGTTCACAAAGAGACATTAAGCGACATAGGAAATGGGCTATACACTGTATGCACACTTGTCCAAAAGGACAAGTGGGAGATTGAAAAGAATGGTGTCCTTCCAACAAGTGTATTATTATGATAGAGGGTTCAAAATTATTACAGAGCTAATTCTTCAGTAAGGTCAAGTGATCGGAATGCCTAGGTGGAGGCCGCTTCCGAACAGTAATATTAAGGTACAATTAATATTACAGCTTAATCTTAACTGAACCCTTCGGGTCGAACCCAATCGAACAACCAATCCGAGACAAGAATTAATCCGAAGGATTTAATGAGTCGTCGGAGTTTTACGAACACAGACGTCGGATATCGAGCCTAGGGCGTCGAGGCCGAGCGTCGCAAAATCACAAGCAACAAGTACGAGCGTAGCCGTATCATCACATTGGGGCTACCCATGTGAAGTGTTAGGCTAGGCTAGCTCAACGCAAACCTAGACGCACCATGCGCGTGCTAGGCGCACCATGGTGTGCTAGGCACGCCATGCGTGCTAGGCGCACTAGGCTGCCCATCGCAGCACCGCAACGTGTGTGCTTAGGTGCCTAGGCACCATCGCAGGCCACACGCACCAAGCACAACACTATCGCATGGCTAGGCTTATGCGTGTGTGCGTGTACATGTGCCTAGGGCCGTCGCATGCCATCGCAGCATCAATAGCACAACACCAAGCATCGCATGCTTGTGCGTGTGGCTGGCGAGGCGATGCCCAGCATGCGTGGCTCGCTAGCAGCACGCATGCTGGGTGTGCGTGTGCGTGCGAGTGCGAGAGCCAGGCAGCCAGCAGCACTTGCTAGCAGCGCCAAGCGACTAGCAAGCAGCAACGTAGGCATCACCCAGCACAGCAGCATGCAGCGCGCATGGGCTGGCTGGGCTGATGCATGCTGGCTGGTGCTGGCTGGATGCCAGCCCAGCAGCCCTTGAGGGCGTTTTTGTGAGGGGTGGGGACCAACCCTTGGGCAATGCCTTAGGGAGCAAGGCAATGGTCCCCCCACTTACTCTTGGTCCTCACTTAGCTCTCTCTCTCCCCTTGACACTTGTTGCATTGTGATTGATTTGATTATTTATTTAATTTAGAATTAAATTAATTATCAATTTTATTCATTCTCCCACATTGGTTGGGAAATGAAAATCAAGGGTTCATTTCCCTATAAATACCAAGGCTTGGGTATTTGGGAAAAGAACACACTTGAGTGGAATTGAAAAGGCAACTCTATAATTGAGTAAACCTTGAATTCGTAAAACTCCAAGTTTATATTTTGTCCGGGCCTTGACTAACCTTCGAGGCTTAGGACGATCGGGCCAGGTTCGAGGGTACGATCCCGTTGGAGGCCTCGCATTATCGAGGGTGAAGTAAGAGCTCGGTGTAAGAGCGAAGCATGCGTCGAGGGTATAATTCTCATCCTTACTCTTAATTGTGTTTTAATTATGTTTTGCTTGTATTAGTTGCATTAATTATGGGGGCGGGTCTTGGGGGTTTCTTTCCGCGTAATGAGGGTCACTACGAAACCCTACATAATTCACCACTGCTCGGCCTCTCTAGACTCACACAATCCCTCTCAATCTCAAATTCTCACTCCCGTATTCTACCTTCAACAAGGAGTCAAGGAGTGAGTAATCGGTCCAATTTTCAGGTTCGAATTTTACTCATAAATTATGGATCTAAACATTTGATCTTCCTGATTAATAATTGTTCAACATTGTTTTTCGACAATTTATATGTTTAATCTGTTAATTTTTACATTTTAATATTATGCTTAGCATTTTGATTTTAAATAATTTTAGGGATTAAAACGTTTTGGGCAAATTTTTAGATTTAGATGTTCTTGATAATTTTTAGGGGTTTAATCTGTTAATATGTTTGGTGTTAAAGGGGTCAAACTATCATGGCTGAGGATGGATTTGATTACGCAGCTAAAAGAGGTATAGTTCATTCTAATTAATGTTATTATAATTCATTTTGAAGTGTGAATTGCTCTGTAAGTGAGAGGGGCAGTTATTAAATTTTTATAATTGATAAGATTCCATTAATATGCTTCAGTTAAGGAGATAATGATTCAGAAACAATAAAACTTGTTATCTTCAGTGTTTTTAAAGGAAGTTTGGTGTGCATATGGTCAATTTCCGGTCAGCCACCACTGTAGATGTGGTTCTTGCAACTGTCATGCGTGTTATATATAGGTTTGAATAGAGTGGGCTTGTTGGCTTTCATTGCTATGCTTTGATGTGATTGGCTGCAGAGAATTTCTCCTGTCTTCGTAGAGATGTCCCTTGTTACTCATATGTCTATACTGATTATTGGCCCAATGAGGTGTCCCTTGTCACAATGTCACTATGTTTATTCTAATATATAAATTAAACTCCATCAAAGTAGAGTATGTGAATAGTGTAAAAGTCTAAGTATTATAGTAAAAAAGAAACGGGGAAAGTCTATATATCTGCTTAGATGTGTTAATAGTTTGACGTTTTGCTTTTCAAATTGAATGAATGATAAATTTATCCAGTGACGTGAAATTTAATGTATCAATCTTATACTATATGCCATTGTAAAGTAATTGGAAAAAATTAATTGATTTGCATGTATATAGAATCGCCAGATTTATAAGTTTCTGGTTTTGCTGTCACAGTTGCTCGATTTTAGGTGTTGTGTGTCTCTTTTACTAAGTACTATGTATGAATTAAGAGTAGAACAAAATATTGGCAATCATATGTCTTACTATTACAAAATATATTTCAAAATTCTCTTTATTACAAAGTAGTATAATAAATTATGCATTTTTATTGATCTTACTCCTAATCTTTGCCTGATTGTTTGGTGTAGAGGGTGACTTTGAGTTTGAGCAAGCATCAAATACATGCATGAGTGTTGAAAATGCTACACCAACACCTGAATCCCATCAATCAATATCTCCAATTCAGGGAAAACGATCTCCTATTTGGCAGAATTTTGAGGTTAATGGTGAACATGCTGCATGCATGTTTTGCAAAAGATTAGTCCAGAAACATAGTGGTTCGGCTGGTACGTCTAATCTAAAGAGACACCTTGATAGGTGCCTATAATATAAAGATTCAGATAAGTCTACTAAGTCTAATGCATCTGAATTTGACCAAAAAGAATATTGTAAGTTATTTGCTAGAGCTATATTGAAGCATATATGGTTATTCTTTAAGTATTGTTGAACATGAGGGGTTTAGGGAATTGCATACATATTTGAATTCCAAGGTTAGAACTATTTCTAGAAACACAATATTGAAATGGTGCATGACTGAGCATGATGTGTTAAAGCAATATGTTCGTAATACATTTAAGGCCTTAACAAGTAAAGTGTCCTTGTCTTGTGATGTATGGACAGCTTGTACTACTCGTGGTTATTTGTCTCTTATGGCCCATTTTTGTGGATAATGACTGGAAATTACGATCTAAGGTGCTGAACTTTAGGCATTTTCCACCTCCCCATAATGGTCATGAAATTTATAATCTGTTTTTTAGTTTGATCAACGATTAGGGTATTGAAAGAAAAATTTGTAGTATGACTATTGACAATGCAAGTAATATGGATTCTATGGTTAGGAAACTCCAAATTGAATTGGATGCAATGGCTAAATTACCTCTTGACGGCAAATATTTTCATGTTAGATGCTCTGCCCATATCTTAAACTTAATTGTCAAAGAAGGTTTGAAAGTCATTGATGAATCTATTGCGAAAGATCAGGAGAATGTGAAGTATGTTGATTCTTCTGAAGCTAGACTTATAAGGTTTAAGCGGTGTGTTTCTAGTTGTAATTTAGCTACATATAGGTGTAAAGCTATAGATGGATGTTCCTACTAGATGGAATTCTACTTTCTTAATGCTTCGTCGAGCTCTTGATCTTTTACCGGCGTTGAAAATGTTCGGTAGGATAGAGAGCAATTATCACTTGGCGCTTACTGCTCATGAATGGGAAATAGTAGAAAAAATGTGTGATTTTCTTGAACCCTTTTATGACATTACTAATTTGTTTTCCGGTTCTGAATATCCCACCTCCAATCTTTATGTTGCCAACATTTGTAGAATTGAGTCACTATTAGTGGCTGCTTCTAAAGGGGATGATCCAAAACTCAAAGAAATGACAGATCTTATGCGTTGCAAGTTTGATAAATATTGGTCTGATTACTCTGTGCTATTATCTTTTGCTGCAATTCTTGATCCTCGGTTTAAGTTGAAATTTTTTGAGACATCTTTTCAAGGATTTGTATGAAGCTCACATGGTTGAAACAAAAGTCCAGGAGGTGTATTATGAATTTGTTCAACTGTTAACCATTACAAGGATCCTCTTCCTACTTATTCTTCCCAAGGTAGTTCAAATTCAGATGCATATCATCCACGCAAGACTAGTAGAGTTTATGCGGTAAGATAACGACAAATATTATCATTATTCAATATGTTAATCACTTTTCTGGGTTATTCTGTTTTGATCTTTTTTATTTGTGATTTCAGAATTTTATCGCTGATGTTGCTAGTGGTGACATGGGTAAATCTGAATTAGAATTATACTTAGAATTGCCTTTAAAACCTTGTAATGTTGATGAGGAATTCGATATTTTGGGCTATTGGAAGGAGCAATCAACAACTTCCAAGTCTTTGTCGTATAGCTAAAGATGTTCTTGCGATACCTATTACTATTGTTGCTTCCGAATCTTCTTTTAGCATGGGTGGCAGAGTTTTAATTATGAACTGGTGGAGGAGTTCACTCTTGCACAAACATGTCGAAGCTTTGATAACAACTCGAAATTGGCTGCATGGTTATGCTGAGTTGGAGAAAGATGGGGTTGAGGTGGAGAAAGAGAAGGACGTGGATGATATTCTGCATAGCCATATTTGTAAGTTGTATTTGATTTTTTTAAAATGAATGTAATGTTTTTTAATCACTATAACACTATTATGTCTCTTACTCTCTTATTTGTTTGCTTATCTTTTTGCAGGTGGATGTCACTCACCCTCATTTGCTCACTGGTTTAAAACCTCAAATTAATCAAGCCCTGCTGCTGCCTGCTGCCTGCTTGAGCCTTACTGTCATTTTCAACATTTTAGTTTAAACTCTTTACTTAGTTTATAACTTTATATACTTGTTCAATTGTAACCACCTTTGTTTTGGTGATGATGAATTGCTATCATTTGAGCTTTTTTGCTTCACGTACTCTTTCTACAATAAAGTTTCAGATTGAGCTTATTTGAATTCATTCAATTACTAAAAGCTGATGATGATTTCAGAAGATTAGGCTTTAGTTGAGAGAGACCTATCTACTTCTTTGAATGGAGCAATCAAAGATCTTGAAAAAAGACTCTTTGCTTCAGCTTTATAATGCTTGTAATTCTTGTTTCTATCATTACTTTGGTGGGTATTGGTGTTTAAGTTGCTAGAGCTAATCTTGTAGGGTGTTTGTCCTGTTCATCTTGGCATGTTTTCTCCATTTTACCTGCCATTCCTGTCACTGTCCTTACCTTAGTGTCTTGGTTGTAGCTTGTCTTGGTTGAAGTTTTTATCCATGATGCTTAATTGGTGTCCTGTTCTGAACATTCTGCTGCAATATTACAGAATATATAATTCTATCCTGTATAGGAATTTGTGAGATTAAGTTTTATCCATGATGCTTAATTGGAGTCCTGTTCTCCTGTTTTGGTTATAGCTTTGTTTTAGCTTTTACTGGTTGTAGCTTTGTATTAGCTTTGTACTGGTTGTAGCTTTGAATTGGTTGTTGGTTGAGATAGAAGGTTTTATCCATGATGCAAAGTACAACTTGTGTGTTATAAATAGATAATCATGAGATCGAAGACAGTTGTGTCAAGATGACAGAAAACAATCACAAGCTGCTTTAAGCATTTTCAAAGGAGAAAAGATGACAGAAAAGGGTTGTGTCAAGATCAGAGATCAACGGAAGCCAGTTTCTCACTTTATCTCCTCTTAATTCAGCATGGAGCAAATGGGCTTAACCTCCTAGAAGCAAAGCATGTCATTCTTGTTGAGCCCTTACTTAATCAAGCAACTGAAGCGCAAGCAATCAGCAGGGTGCACCACATTGGGCAGACTAGTAAAACTATTGTTCATCGATTCCTAGTATGTGTTTTCCACTTTTGAAAGTATTCTATATTTATAACTGCAGTATCATGGCTATTGAGTTTTTAGTGTTATTCTCTTGCATGTTTTTTTTGGTTTTTCAGGTTTGTTGTTATAGAAATATTTTGTGAAGAAAGCTTGGGATTTTTTTAATAAACAATTATTTTTACATTTGTTTTTCTTTGCTCAATTTCATTCTGCTCAGAGTCTTAACCTTCACTTCTTTATCCCTTTTTTTTCCATTGGCTGAACAGATTAAGGATACAGTTGAAGAAAGCATTTACAAATTGTCTTTAAGTAGAAATTCCAGCTCTTTTATTAGTGGGAATGAGAAGAATCAAGATCAGCCTATTTTAACATTGAAAGATGTCGAGTCCTTGTTTGCAGTAGCACCTCCGGCAGTAGCAGCAGCACCGGATAAAAGTAACGAGCAAAGTAGTAGTATTCTAATGCACTTACCACCTTCTGTTGCTGCTGCCATCGCCGCTGAGAAAAGGCTTGGCCAATCTACAATGTGATTATAGCTTATGTGTAGATTATTTGTGCTGGCCGCTGGGTATCTCAGTTCTACGGAGTATTTTTCTATTTATTTGCAAGGAGTTATTTAGGTAGGTGTACATATAATTCTTTTATTTTTTTAAAAAATAATACGTAGTATATTTTAGGGCTTCAGCTTTAAGCTGAATTTATGTATATTAAGCAGCAAGTTTCTTCTTATGGTTGTATTTAGCTGATTTATATTAAAGCCTAACTAGGTATATTGAAAAAAAAAAAAAAAAAAAGTCAAAGGAAGTATATATTTCATCCGTTTCAAAATACTTGCAACACAGACTACACAGTCTTGTCGTAGTCTTCTTATTATTGGAATGCTTCATTGTAGTTGAACTATAATTAAGTAGTTGAATATAAAACAAATAAATGTTTCTTCTGAATTGATTTTGATGCGTATGTGAAGTGTTTATACTAAATTAAAGAGATGCATATATGTACATGTACACTAAGGTTAAGATATGAGACTTGGTATATATATATATATATATATATATATATATATATATATATATATATATATATATATATATATATATATATATATATATATATATATATATACTATAATTAACACCTAAATTTGGGGATGATGCTTCTTTCTTTTGTTGGATCGACTTGGTCTCTCTGCATCCAAGACAAAATACTTTGATCAATATTGACATAGAGTAATTTTAGCCTTACAAAGTTTCGACATAACGAGTAGCTTAGAATATATATAGCATATATCTTTATTCAGTATCTGATCTACAATAATAAAGATGTATAAATAACAAGTCGATTTGATTTCAGGTCAGGTCAATAATAAGTAGGGTTGAATTTGGGACGAGTGCATAACAAGTCGGGTTGATTTCGGGTTGGGTTAGTGACAGATCGGGTCGGGTTAGTGATAGATCGGGTTGAAGTTCGGGTCGGGTTAGTAATAGGTCGGGTTAAATTCGGGTCGGGTGAGTAATAGGTCGGGTTAAATACGGGTCGGGTTAGGAATAGGTCGGGTTGAATTCAGGTCGGGTTAGGAACAGGTCGGGTTAAATTCGGGTTTTGACGGGTTAAAACGGGTTTGGGTCAATTTCGGTTCAGGTCGGGTTCGGTTCAAGTCAATATTTTACGGGTCATCTTCGGGTCGAGTCATCTCCGGGTCGGGTCATGTTCGGGTTCGGGTCTCAAATACTCGGGTCTCGGGTTGGTTTCATATCGGGTTCGGGTCATCATTTTTCCGGGTTTAGACGGGTCGGTTAATAATCGGGAACGGGTCGGTATTTCGGGTCGGGTCAACTTTTGACAGCTCTAGGTTCAGGCCATAACATTAAATATCATGTCCAAACTCATACGGACTTATTGGAAAAGTAATAGGCTTTTTAAGCTTTTTTTTTTTCTGATCAGGTTTAGATTTTAACTAAAAAAAATGTTTTTAAGCTTATCCAAATTCACTTTTTTTCGAACTGAGCTACTGGATCAGGCCGTAATTGATCACCATAAACTTTTCACATTTTCTTGATAAAGTTAATGTGGCTATGTACATTTCTCCATCTTTGTGTGGAAGATTCTAGGTGTCTTTTAGACATCTATAAATAGGAGAGCTTTTCACACAATAAGCTTTGTAAGAGAGAAAGAAAGCCACTAATTAAGTGAGAGAAATTTGTAATAGAGTATTCCACATATAATAGTGAGAATTATACTACATTCTGGTTGAAAAATTCTTGCAATCCTACCATCATTTTAGTGGAAGTTTTGGAGAGTAGTCCAATGGTTTTTCACTATTTTGGAATTTTTATTTTTACCAAATTTTTTGTGTCACTTTATATATATATTTTTTATTCTTATTTTGATTATCCAAAGGGGAAAAAAAAAACATTTTTCCCAACAAATAATTATGTTAAGATGATGTTTGTAAACTTAAAAATGTAGAGAATTGTAAATCACAAAAATTTTTAGAGATTTTGTCTACAAAACTAAAAGAGAAAATTAAGACACGTATTTCAACCTGTTGATAACCAATTTTAACATAAACCCACGATTTTTCAAACAAAAAGAAGAATAAACATATGAAGACATTTAAGCGGAGAAAATAAGCTCAACTCCTCAATATTATCTAAAATAAGCTAGTTATTCCAATAATATGATAAAATTGCATTTTCGTGATTTAGTACAAGAAATAAACATCAAACTACTGAACTACCATTACAAATTTGATTTAATTTAATATTTCAAGATATACCCAAAATTATAAATTTCAAAAAGAATAAAAGAAAAAAAGTTTTTAGCATGAAAATGAAGCATAAATTGATTAAATTAGTGAGATTAGTTTCAATTCGTACAAGATGATTCAATTCGGAGAAATTGATTTTAAGAACGTTTGGTTAGGGTATTCATCAAAGGTAAGGGAGTAAATTGTCTTCATTGCCTTTGATGTATTTGTTGAATCTTTTTTTGTCATTCGCCCCTTATTCCTTTTATCCTCTTTTATTTTTCACTTCCCTAAAAGCCTTCTACACTGATTCCTCAACCCCAAACATTATCCATTCCCTTTTCCACCTCAGAAGTCATTACTCTTCACCCTTTCTCCAATAATTCGGCATCCCCTTTGAAACACCGATCGCCATAGTTGCCGACAACATTATCCAACGGGTCAAACATTATCCGACCACCGATTACCTAAAGCATGTTTCTTCTCTCCTTTTTCAATCAATAATCACTTCCATCAACTTTATCACCACCACCACTACCACCCTCCATTCAACAACTCTATCCAACACGCTCCTATCATCACAACCAACACTCATATAGACATACAGTCAAATCTCACTAATAGGCGAACCACCACCCACAAATAACTGAACTCTTCGATTTTTCATTTTACTTTTGTCATTTTTTATATGTTTAAATTTGCACTTTATTTTTAATTAATTATTAAACATTATATATCGGTTTGTTTTATTTAAAGTTTTAACCATTAGCTTATCATAAATCTGGTGGATTGAAATTGATGGAT